GGCTCGTTTGACTTCCCAAAGTCCCTCCGAGTAATTTCGAAAACAGCCGTCCCTATCCTCTTTTCTCCTGCGCTTGCCTGCGCCCATTACGGCCTCGATCGATGTCAATTGCCTCGAGTGGATTTTACGAGCTCGCGCTACTTGCAGTGCAATTGTGATCCCAAAAATCTTTTTTTTTTTTTTTGCTCGCATATTGGTGTATCCGATAGGTGTCAAAAGTCAATTTTTTTATTCTATACCGATATAAATCCAAGGGATCGCCTACTGTGCACTTTCGCTCGGAGGTCCTTTATCCACTCTGGTTTAATCATCCGTAATTCCTTGTGTTTTCTCTCCGCTTTCCCCGAGGTGTCAATTTCACGGATAAAATGCCCAAGAAATCCAATTGAGTTTTTATTGCTCTCGTGCTCCATTGGATCGGACGCCGTTGATTTATTCGACACGTTGTGTATTATACTTAATCGCATTCGAGGAGGTGACGGTGGGTTTCTACCAAAGTTTTATCGTGAAAATGTGCTCCTTGGCGACACAAATGGGGCGCAAAATACGTTTTTGGGCCATCGGCAATCGAACGTCTGACCAAAACCGAGCTCTACTACTGACCGAACTTCACGGCTGACTAAACACGTACCAATACTACTTAATCCGTTTGAAAAAAAAAGATGTTGAAAATTACTTTCGGTCAAAGGTAATTTTTCAATCAGTCCAGTGGGACGAGTAGCCGTATTTCCCCAAAGCGCCCTCGAAGTAAACTGGAATCCGGTTGAAAAGCGAGCTGAAAAATTACCTCTGATTTCCCGATTTTCTCGAGAGCCACGAAAGAGTCGAAAACTCACCGGTAATGCTCTTTCCTCGACGTCTCTTTCCGCCCCTCCCCTTCCCGTTCCTTTGAGCCTCCATTCTTCTCTCTTTTCTCATCGGCTCTGGGGCTGCCCAGCCATTGTTACGCCAGCCCATTGTGCCCCTCCGTACATACTTTACACTCGGGACTGACTGGCCTCTTCTCTGTTGGTGTTTATACTCCTCGGGAAAATTTTCGACAATGCCGGCAGCCCCCTTTGTTGGATCCGTATACCCTTCCGGACGAGTGCAGGAGGCGCATTCGAGAGATAAATTTTTCCCCCGAAATTCCCGCGCGTCGAGACTTCATTTTGGATTTCACACACCATTGTTATTCATAATTCAGCCAAGGCTCCGCTCGGGATTTTGGACCCCCATTGTTCGCTCCGATGAAACCCCCACTGCAAAACGTTGCAAGCAACTGCGCGGGATCGTGAATTTTTCAAAAAATTAATGCTGAGAACGGAAAAATGTTTGACCTACTCTCGGAACGAAAGCACAATTTTCTTAAACAGTTCCAGCTTATTTTAAAAAAATGTTTCTACATAATAGGGCGGAAAATCCAAGTATTCTTGAAACCCCTTAAATCACCAAGCCGGTCTTGGAAACTCGGCGTTTTCCGGAGGAGCTCAGTCATAAATCAGACAGCACCTGATGCCGAAAGTGGCCGTATTGTTTTTGTTTCAGGGCAAAGTAGTTTGGGCGTTTCAGCGCGTGCGCGCAGTAATTTTTTTTGTTCATTCCTATAAGGCTGGAAGGCGGGGGCCGATGAATAATGCAAGACCGGGATAAATTTCGAGGCAAGGGTGAAAAATTGCGTTATAAGTGAGCGGTTCCCCGGTGGTGGGTAAAATGCGCTCGCTGCAGCGCGAGATGATACGCCCGAGGGGGACATTTTGAAGGACCCGCAAGTCACACGCAAATGGAGTGTCTCCGCGCTTAGTGGAAAAATTTCAACTAAAGGAAGATGGGGGCTCATCGAATTTTTTAACTCGATGAGCTCGTTTTACAATGATGTGCACAAAAGTGGAATCACATAGTGTCGCGTAAAAAAAGGCGATTTAATAAAAGTTTTTGTGGCTGGAGTAGGGAAAAACTCATCGCGTTTGCTAACCTAATTGGCCAAGGCAATCCAATACGTTCCGTGACAAATTTATCCGGCAAAAGAATGGCATTGGACGGAAAGTTTTGTCGACCCGAGTCTTGTTTTCTTTCGCGACGGGGACAACACGTGTACGGCTCGTGTTAGCAAATCCCCCGTCGTTTGCCGTAAAAGGACGAGCGGTAAGCCACATCAAGATGCTATAGTTTCACGCAAATGTCGATCCACGGCCTTTCGTCAGGCCTAATGAGATTTGTCCAGTGCAAACGACGCGATTGCCCGGCTTCTCGTCAATCCAATCCATCCTTCGTACGGAGCACGTCCTAATCAAGGGACTGTTCCTGTGACGGTGTCGTCGGTGCACGCGATCGAGCCTTCGTCGTGTGACAATGGTGATGAAAAAAAGGGAGGGGGAAAAAAATTTGCTGGAAAATCCACGTGAGGTCGAAAAGTCAACGGGGCAACAAAGTTAGCCGCGAGACTCCCCGACGGGAGAAAGAAACTGCTTGGGTGTATGGCTCACGTACGCCGGGGTTGCTCGGGCTCTTCGATAACTTTGGGGATATATCGCTGGCTGGGCTATATAGCGTGTCGATTCTCGTCGAGCCAAGCTCTTTTGGTAGCGCCAGACTCATAAGTTTTTCCCGGCAATAAAAGTTGACAATAATGTGACCTGAATTCATTCTCGACCAAGATTTTTCCCCCTTTTTTTTTTCATCTTCTTTGTTTCGAGGCTAAAAGTTGAAGACTTCGCGCATTTTCATTTCCTGGGCCTTAGTTAGGATGAAGTTTTTGTTGTTGTTTTTTTTTCTAATTATGCACGAGGGATATCGAGGAAGTTTGATGAATTTTTTCCGCCGCCACGGCTGTTTCCGGCAAAAAAATACTCCACTTCAAACAGAGTAAGGGCGCGCGCGTCCGTAAAAATGAGAGTTATCGAAAGACCAACTGAAAAGAAAAAAGGAATATCAATCTCGAAAGTGTTTGCCTGCAAAAAAAAGAGCGAATTTTGGCGGAAATTAGCCAGTTCCCGAAAGCTCGAAATTTTCCCGATCGGGGCGTAATGAGTACAGGGTTGGTTTCCAGCTGGTTTTGTACTGTACGTACCTCGATGATGGGCTTTTAAAGAGGTGCACTTTAATCTCCTAGGACGAAATGGCCCACCTGCTCTTTTTATTACTTCCGCATTTGCTATTTCACTGTTTCAGTTTTATTTTTGTTCGACGATTGGAGCATCGATTTGGCGATCCGAAGCCCGCCTACAGCTTGCAGAGTTGTACTTCGTTCCAATCGTATGCATATATGTATTGTTAAAGTTGATCACGCTTGCGCAAGCGCGAATTTAAAAAAAAATCCCCAGACTTACTTTTACCTCCGAAGCACGCGAAGCGTATCGAATGGAAGAAAAAACCTCTCGAATCAAAGGTCTGCTTCTTATTCATGATGCCGTTGATTTGGAATGAATAAAAAACACTCGAGAACTCACCCGCCTTCTTTTACAAATGAGCGGCGAGTTCAACCCTCTATCTCCTCTCCTCGCCTCGCCGGTCGATGTTTCATTTTACTCGGGCTCTCGATTTTCTTTTTTTTCCCTCCCGATGCAAAAATTCTCGACGCTGCAGGTGTTTGCTTCTATAGTTTTTCTCTCTTTCGCGAAAAGGCTCCGTCCATAGGATGATCCCTACTGCTGTAATCGCGTTTGGAGGGGGAGACAACCAGACACGGGATTTCTGCACTTTCGCCGAACTTATTTCTCCTCTGACCTATGTGGTAATAAAAGCTCTGTTTTTTTTTTTTTTTTTTTTTTTTTTACTTATACTTACCTTGCAACGATGACTACTCTAATTCCACACGAATGAATTTGGATTTTGCGAAAGGACACGTCCACGGCTCGGAGTAACAGCTGCTGTCTGGATCCTCTCGTGGATTTTATACCGAATAACCCCCCGCAGATTCACCCAAAACCCGTGTATATAGGGATTCCCAGAGCTCCGCAGCTCCACAAAAGATACACGCTCCCGAGACTGAAAGGAGCGAATTCATCGGGATGGGAATACCCGTTCGCTTGCTCTCAACCAATGGTACAAGTGGCGGGATGACGATGATGATGCACCGGCTTAATTGGCCGGCCAATGCATGCCTCATTTTCCCCTCTCGCTTGACTGGGGTATTCCGGGAATTGAAGCTTTCGAGAGGAAGCGAAGGTCCTTCGTGGAAGAGCTTGCATGATTTGGAAATCGGAGGAGCTTGTGGTTGTATTTTTTCCTTGTATAATTTTATACTCGATTCGGGGGGAGACTCGGGGACCCGCGCGTGCTTAACTCACCTCGAGTTCAGGGATGAAGCATCTCCCGGACGTGTAGGCTCGCGTGACCCATCGGTGGGGGCTAAAAATAATACTTCCCCCTCTTAATCCTCAAGCATCCCGATCGATCTTTTCCCCCCACAGCAGGAAAAAGCGTAAGCTTAAACCAAACACGTGCACGCGGCGGCTCGCTCGAGCTCATTAGCGTAAAAGCTCGAGCGATTCGCCCTCAGCACTGCACATCAGGGATCAAGAGTGGCGAGCCATTGTCATCGCCGTCCGGGGGAAAAAGGTCGGCCAAGACAAGCTCGAGCCCGCAATTTACATCTTGATTGAGCTGGATATCTTCCACCACCCCCCCCCCCGGAAGCCGGAGGCTGGCTGCGCGCGCCCCGCGAGACCTTGAACCTTTTCCGACCCGTCCTTCGACTCCTGCCGCTCCTCCTCCTCCTCCCTCATTTTCTCGCTTGTTATGCGCAAAAGTATTAGGAGGAGCGTACAGAGATCATGCACGCGAGGATAAAAGAGTCGATGCACCCTGATATTGTACTTTTCCACCTCAGTTCAACTCAACCGAGTGAGCCAATGTGCTGGAAAGTGGCTGTTGTCTCTATACCGTTGCTCAGATCGGCGAGCAGTGAATATTTTTTTCGAAGCCTATTTGCCACTCTTGCCAGTTGATTTCCTGCTGTTTTGGTGGCCGGGAAAAAAATAAAAGTTTTTGAAATAACAGCGTAAATTTTGTATTTGCAGATGGTCACGCAACCGGAGAGCAACTCGAGCACCGCCCAGTCGGAGGACGGCGGTCGAAGCTTCAATCTCTGGCAAATCGGCTCGGACCTCATGACTGCCACCAACAGTAAGTTTTGGCCGAATTCTCTATCTACCTTTAGTGAATTCCTTCAATGGGCCAACAATTACCAGCATTGGGACACGCGCATCGATCATCCCACGCGTATTTTCGCGCAACTCTTGGCACGCGGTGTATCTAAAAATTAATCCGGGCCCAAATTTTTGAAACCGAGGGGATGGTCATACTTTTTTCACGCGTGCGATGACTTTGCACAAAGTACAATCGAGTCACGAAATAGGCAAAAACAACGGTACACGAAAAATACCGGTTACCCGCCAAAATCCCTCGGGCAACTCTCTTTCCCCCAAAAAGTTTTCACGCGCGCGTGTTATCCGCGAATCAAGCCCAGCTGGTTGTTGTTCCCTTCTCTCGGGGAGCGCGCGTGGGAAAACAATCCGCGTGCACGTGTAAGTTGTCTCTACGCGTGCCCTGAAAGTTCTGCAATATCAGTGCCGATTTTTTTCCCTCTCTCTCTCTCTCTCTCTTTACTCGAGTTTCTGGGTGTATCTATGATCGACGAGGCGGTGATCGAGGATTAAAAAAGAGGGAGGGAGCGATGAGCGATAAATTGAGCGGACATTTTACTTTTCCTCCGAGTTGTCGCCGAGGAGATAAACCGGGAAAGAGGACCCGGATGAAGTGGCTTAACCGGGCGCTCCGGAGGATAAATAAGCACCTCGGGTCGATCGCGCTTTATTTACGAGGGTAAAGAAAAACAGTTTTTTTTTTTTTTTTTCTTTCTTCACTTCGTCCTCGTTTGATCGTTACGTCTTTCATACCGATTTTTCACTCCATATAAGCGTACCAGCCAACGCTCTATAATTACGTTTCGGGAAGGAAAAAATCAAAGTCAGCGGGAAATGAAAAAAATGGTTTTGCAAGTGAAAAAGAGGCGCCCTAGTTCGGGTATGGCCGTCACGTACGTGAGTGTGTCCGGCGGTCAGAGTAACATTGAAACGAAATTTCGTCGCTGTCCGGCAGCCTTTTGGCGCTGAAGATGCGTGCGCCCAACGACAGCTCGGTTGTTAAATTTTCCCTTCCGGTTCGTAAGGTGGTCACGTACCAGCCACGTTTCCAAGGACGATCACTGCGTTTTATTAACCAACCCCTTACATCCTACGCGGTTTAGTCAAGATGAGCCCCGAGTTCCCTCGTAAAATTCAAGCCCTGGGGTTCAAAATTACGACGGATCGTTTGGTATCTCCATTTAACACGTATCACATTTAAATTCGACTGCGCGCGTCTGCGTTGGATATGCGTATACGTGATTCGATACAGCGGAGCAAATGTAACCCGAGCGACTCTCCCGTCAATTAGCGCCAACTTGCAGGGATTAGTCGTGTAGGAGCCGGCAAACTCGACCACGTTATTTGCGTGGACGTATGTATACGCGTTACATAAACTTTACCCTACGGATACCTGCGAGCTTTTTCTCTCCTTTTGTTTTTGTTTGCGCAAGTTTGTATAGAATAAGATTCCACAGAACCGAGTATAAAATGAAGGGCAGCGCAAGAGGGTCTCTTGAGTACTTATTAATGTTCGCTGGCAAGCGTAATTACAAAGTTCAATTTGTAGGGTACGTCCGATGAAGTTTGTTTCGGACTCGCGTTTTATTGCGTCGTTGATTAAAATATATACGTATATTTCGGTTTGCCAACTCTTGGTTATTCTTTTTTCTCGATAAAACGGTGTATTTTCAAGGGTAGAAAGATATAAGGAAAAACACAAAAGGTACACAAGAAAATCACGCGAGCCTAAAAGCCTCGGTTTAACCAACTGCAGCCATCAGCACAGAGAAAACACGCATCTCTCGAGGAGGGGGAGAGGGAAAACAAGACGTCAGACAGCCGCGTCGAGGCGCGATTAATCATAATTAACCAGACGAGGTAGCGACAAGGCCGCGCTAATGGATAAAGAAGAGACTTGCGACGCGAGGGAAGGTGGGACAGGATAAACACGTATAGGCGTACAAGTCTCTCGAGTGGTGCTACTTCCGGGACTACAGGACGTCAAAGTCGCGCGCGCACGCAAGAGGGAGTAGAGGGGGGTAAGATTAAGGCTTGTCGCGCGGGAATTTGGGGTAGAGAATTCACTCTCTTGCGGATAGCAGGTCTCAATTCGGAACTACGACGGCACAGGTGGCCGAGTCCTTTTTCCACTCCTTGATCGATCATTTGACCTACACCAGCTGGTATTTATATTTATACACCCCCCGCCTCTCTCTCTCGTCTCTTCAGTTGCGAGGTAACACTTTTTGATGTCGGTTTGTATCGATTTCGCCGCCACCAAAGTATTTCCTATAATTACAAATTGTCGTTCCTCGCGTCACCAAACAACAACCACACGCCGGAGAGTCCACGATATCGTGGTAACGTCACCCACGCCATAGGTAAACAGCTGGTGGTGTATAGCTCCGTGTTTGGGCTCGGCTGTCGGGATGGTAGAGCGATACTCGGTTTGCCCGAGGATATGGTCCAAAGTACCGATGTACTTACTTTATATACGGTAGCGAGGCCGGGCGAATGAGTGAGTTGCGGATGGGTATACGTGCAAAGGGAATGAGCAACCGAGTGATGTGGATGGCGGTTTGCTCGGACAACTTTCTGGCCCTGCCAACTTGGTTTTTATCATTTATTCGCCCAACTATGTAACCACGTGGAAAGTGTATCTGTTTGTGCACGAAAATCAAGTATCATAATTTTAATGGTATAGATCAATAATAAAAAGTGGATAAACGTAGTTTTTAAGATGTCGGAAGCACCAATTGGGAAAGGCAGCTCTCGTTTGGCTCGCTATAGGCGTGTTTGCCTGGGCTTAACGCGACAGGTGGTCTAGACGCGCGTGCACACAAGCCGCAAACCCGTGGCCCTCCGCGAGCGTCTCCTCCTTCGCGTGTTTGTTCGATTGAACGCGTCTGCGGTCGCCCAATTTTCGAACATCGAGGCGTCCTTCGCGGATGATTTTCAATGATAGAGCACGTTGATGAACGTTCAAAGAGGCGAAATTACGGTTTAGACGTTTGTTTGGGGTTTGACTCGAGCGGCTGATCATAATTGGCTTGTACTACTTATCGAGCATCGCTTTGCTGCGCTGCCTCGGGATATCGTAGTTGTTGTCGTTGCTTTGTTTTTGAGTCTGTTGAAAAGAGAAAAAGTACCGAGCTTCATGTATCGAAGCTTGTGCACAATGCAGTGATGAATCATGCAAGCCTGTCGAGTTTCCGTCGTGTCAGTGGCAGGAGAAAAATCCAACAAATGACGAGAAAAAGTAAAGAATAGTGGCAGATGTTTGAAAAAAAAAAAGAAAAAGAAAAAAAGAAAAAGAGAGTGAAGTGGTACGAGGCGAGGGTTGGAAAATATCGATCCGACCTCGGCGCCATTCACTCCGCGGAATCAGCCATCGTCCGGAGGCGGAGGAAATAAGGCCATTGAAAGAAATGGAAAGAAGGAACTGCGCTGGGTGTAAAAAGGATCGGCCAAGAGTAAATCGATGAGCAAACTAATTTCAATCGCAAAAATTATGCCATCTTTGCTCCTCGCTCCTTCGATCCTTTGTCCTGCTATTGGATTTGCATTTCTTTCAAAAGTCTTTCTCTTTGCTATTCCAGTTGCTTGACTGGCTGCACGTGCCCGAGTTTTTTTTTTTTTTTTTTTTGTTTGCAATGATTGGGCTAATCAATTACCAGCTTGTTTGGTCTTGCCCATGACAAGTGCTTCAATTAAACAAGGGAGCTATTGTTGGGACAAAATCATTCGAGCGAAACAATTTCACTTGAATTGAAAAAACAAAAGGGTGAGATTGGTCTGTCCGATTACAAGGTAGAAAAAGGATTAGAAAGATCTAGCGCGAAATGAAGCCAAGAAATATTGCGAGAGAAGCAACATTAGAAGAGAGAAAACGACACGGGAGTCTAGGGGGCAAAAAAAGTACCTCTATTTCTATCACGTCCACGCGTTTGCGGGGCTATTCGTTCCCATCCTTGTACATACGTACACGTGCTCGTCTAAAAAAAGGTTCTCTCGGGTCTCGAGGCACCGAAAAAAAAAAAAAAAAAAAAAAATCTACTTTTACGTATCCTACACCCCCTTTTATCGAGATTGGCTCGAAATTCGGTGTTCTATATAACATTCACTAATACGGTCAGAATTAACTTGGAAAAGTAAACAAACGAAATGCTAAATTTTTCTAACATTGTCACCGAGAATGTGACACGAGAAAGCCGTTACAATGGTGTCATGAATATGTCGGTCACCCTAATGGGTTTGAGAAAACGTTAATTTCATGACACTTTCAGCACCCTTGTGATAAAAAAAAAATATGTCTTGCTTCCCCCTGAGCAGCAAAAGTTACGATTCACACACGTGATGTAAATAAAGTACGGCGTAGCTTTTTTTTTCGAGAAAATTTCCAAACCTCCTACCCCAATAGGAAGTAAGACGAGCAAAGTAAAAGACGTATATTCACGGAGGAGCTGGAGAGCCAACTTCATTAGAGATGCATTTAAATGCGAGCGATGGCGCGCCCTACTACGAAGGATTCTCACTTTCCTATGGGTAATGCATTTCGAATGGACGTCCTACATTTTATCCAACGTCGAGTCAAAGCTCGACATTATAGCTTCAATTTTCACAGTAGCACTTTTACACGCGGTCGAAAAAAAAAAAAAAAAAGCGTAACAATTGTCGAGGGATGTTTCACACTGTCTCTGACGCGCAGCCCACGTACGGGCGAACGATAAATCACAGCGGGTTAACTCTGGTAAGCGCAGCAACAATGCGAGGGACACCGCACGAGGCCGAGCGGAAAACAATTACGCGCGGCCAAACACACTTTGCCCAAACAGCCGGAGGATCCCCTCCTCCACATAAATATACACCGAGTCGCTAATGTACATCTGAAATTAATTCGCGGTCGCGTCGGCGATTTCGCGCTCTCCTGCCTGTTGCGCGCCCGCCGTCTACCAACGCGTTATGCGCGCTGAGGAAGGGGGGAGGGGGTGAATGAAAGCCTCACATCCGTCATCTCGAGCGAAATTTATGACACCGTGTGGAGGGGCATTAACGGCACACACGCGGACGGAATAGGCAAGTTTTGTTCGTCTGTGTCGCGGAACACGCGATTGACGAGCAGCACATGGTTGGGTAAGTTTCGGATTAGAGCCAATGTCGCTTGAAAGCGTCGCTCGCGCGATCGAACTCTCGATGCTCTCGTTTTGTTTGGTGCTAATGGGCCTCTCCTGAACTATCCCGGAATTTCCAGAGTTAGGAGATAAAGAGGGTCGTCGGCTCGGGCGGGAGTAGTACGAGTCAAGTTGCGGTCAGCCTCGAGGCAAAGGAGGTTTTCAACGGTAATTCACAGACCCATCCTTCTCGTTAACGTAACTAGCGTATAAACTTGTTTTTTTTTTTTGGATTTACATCCACGCGTAGCGTACCTTTTTTGCGAAAAAGTGGGATCTGCAATTCGCGGGAGTTATCGGGTAGTTTGATTCAACGAAACTTATTTGACGAAATCCCATGAGCTTTGGAGGAGTTTTCCGGTCGATTAATTAAAACAAACTTCAAAGCAGCCCTTTGATGAATTAATTTTTCCCGCTCCGCATTTCCGGGCCGTTACATATGTAGGTACATTTCGCAACATCGCGGGGGACCATGGAAAAGCAAATCGATATCCTTAATTAGCACCAGCGGCGTCGCATTGACATTCCACCCACTCGGGTTGATCCGGTGTTACATCGATCGCGGAAAGGACCCGCTGACGCGCGCGTACCAAATTGCAAACCGCACGCGCGCTTGGTATTGGTGGTGGGCGTCTTTCCGTACTTTCAACGTCCGGAGAACGAATCCGTTCGATTGGGTGTGCGTACACGCGCGCGTCCGTTCATTAACGTGATGGTGTTCGAGCTATGGGCATTCGAAATTTTGATCAATCGAGCCTTCGTGGTCTATGAGGGCAAGCTTTTTGTTCGGGAAAGAATGCAGTCCTTTTTCCCCCCAATTAAATATTTCAGCCTCGGTTTCGCGATTCTGCAGCTAAAGCCTCTGTAATACCCAATTTCCGCCGTTCTCATTTTCTCCCTCGTGGATGTTTTTTTCCTCGCGTCTCCTCGCTATCAAAATATATCCACTGTTTGGCCAAGACTGACAGATGACGCGAAAAAAAAGCTGGTGGTAAGCACGAATATCGATTCACTGGCTGTTTTTTTTTTTTTACTTGAACTCGTGCTCGCAGCTTGTAACCGGAGCTTTCGAGGGGATCGGCTCTATAAATAGTAACAAGCTGGTCGCGTTGTTTCGCAGGTGGTAAAATTATTTTCGAAAAACGAAGAAAAATGCGGTGTAGGCTGATGCGTTTACCGTACGATCCGTTCGATACTCGCCGAACAGTGAGGGCCATCAATCTCCCTCGCGCTCCTTCGTTTCCCTTTTCTCGGCTTCTTTTCTGGGGCACTAGTTTATCTTGCGCGACTGCGCTTTCTTTTCCGTTTCTTTTTTTTTTTTTTTTTCTTTCCCTCGCTTCCCTGAAAATGCAATATGTACGGAAACGGAAGAGATAACTAGAATTAACGAGACAACGGAAATTTTAAATATTACCACCTGGGCGCGGATGATAAGGGCAGAGGGGCGTGAAAATGTTTATTCAGCGCTGTGCTGCAGCATTTGCGCGGGGAAAAAGTGCCGAGTATCATTCATCGGGTTTAAATTTGTCCGGTTGGCCGGCCAGAGGTGCTCTATAAATAATTGACGAGAAAAAAAAAATCCAACCCCAAATCTCCGGGTATAAATTCAAAGATATACGCAGAGATGTCAAATCAATATGTTTTCCATGCACGCGCGGAAAGGATATTTTTATCGGTCGCGCGGAATTTCACCGTGAAAAACTCACCTCCGCGTCTCTTACACGTACTCGAAGAGTAGACGCATCTGCTTTGTGAAATCAATACTCGCGACCTTTCTTTTTTCTTTTTTTTTTCCCTTTCCCCCTGCCATTCGATTTCGAGTACAAGGTATCGACGCCTGCGCTCGAAAAAACAGATCAAATTACTCCCACGGACTTTTTATGATCGAATACCCACGCGTCGTGCAATTTTAATATTCCTCCGGCGCGCACGCAAAAATGTATCTCCCAATACGCAACTTAAAAATATTTTTCCCACTCGTCCTTGCCGATGGTTCTCCCCCGCTTTTGAATCGCAGTCACGATCACCCCCCCCCTCTTTGATCGGAGAGTAGGTGAGTATACGTGCGAAAACTAAAAACTACACTGGAGTATCGTACATGGGTTTTTTTTTTTTTTTTCTTGTTTCAGTGTCTAAACTGACCCCGGCTAAGGTCACGCCCATGGAGAACCTACAGCCCAAGGAGAGCACCCCCGTGATAGAGCCACCGAAAGCGTGAGTATAATCCACCAACCATCAAACATTGAAATATTATAAAATGAAAAAAACAACCAAAGCCATAATTTTGGTTCTCGATCGGCTGCAATTTTTCGGCGTGTATATGGGCGTAGATAAACGAGCAGAAAACTACCCGAAGAAAGACCCCGCGATTTTTATGATGATCCAGCACGTACTCGCTCTTTGCGTCATGAACCAAGTAGTTTTTAGCCTCCCAGCGACTGCATAATTCACGAAGGGAGTGAAGAAAAAGAGCCCTTCGATCGACGCTTTTAAGAACACTCCCGCGTGGGTGGGGGCTGGTGGTAGCTCCCCCTTCTACCGCGGCTTGTTTACACACGGAGTACATAGGAATATTTTTTCCTCCCGCGACATATATATAGTATATATATAGTGCGTGCAACGTAAGGACTCGTGTGATTCGAAAAGGATTTTTCATCGCTACTCGCCCCAATTATCTTTTTATACCTCGACGCGCTGAACGGTCTATTAAAAGGAAAACCAGTTACGCGCGTGCAACGCGACACCGGTCGGGCGGTGGTTGCCCGACTATATACGTGCATCCAGACCACAAAGGGCCGCTCGATAGGATCAACTCGATGGTATTTTTATCTCCAGTGGGGGCTGACGAGTACGCCCATCTCGAAATTCCCTGGTACCGCGTGTTTATTTATTTGGGGCACTTTTCAAAGGGTTTCGCGAGCTTGGCGATACTCAATATAGGAAGAACCAAAACACTACGCGCGTGATACTACCTTTGGGGCTTTGACAGTCCCGGCTTACTCGGCTTCCCCCCGCTTGATCGGGGGAGGGGGGCTCGATTGATTCGCCCAAGGGATTTTCTTTTTTCTTCTCCTCCGTTTGTCCGCTGGTGCATGGTTTTTCATCCGTTGGTACGCGCTCTCGACGGCAATTAATCTCGCTCGACGTTATTTTACTCTCTACCCCCCCCCCTTCACCCCCTTTTACGCGTGAGCTTTGAAAAGAGCTCGGTTACGGAGACCCGGGACTTTACGACAGTTCTTTTTTTTCAATTTTATTGTCCGATCCGGCTATAGCTTTGGCTTAGGGGTGTACTCGACGATCGACCGACTCTGGATGTCCCTCCCGATGGTCGGGCCATGCCGGAGGATAATGGCACGTCGCGTTCATCCTATCGAATTTCCAAACGTGTCTTTTGTGTCTGTATACAAACATCTAAAATATCCTTTATTTTTTATTCATGGGTAATCACTTTTGTATCCGTACGCACGTTAATTCAATTTTGTTTTTAAAAGTTCCTACCATGGGAGTATTGTATTGATTTATGAATGATACGAGTATAGCACATACGGATACCGGTTTTTACCAACGAAGCAATGTTGGTGGAAATGTAATGACGAGACGAGAAAACCCACTCAAAAGGTAGGCGGGTATCTTTTTTAAAAATTCAAATGAAACCTCAAAGCCGCGTCTCGAAAAGGATCGCGCAAACTCGACAAGAAACAAGCCGCATTGGCAGAAACTCCCGCTAACAAGCAAAACGTTGCACGTCGCTGGGCTTCGAGTGCTTACCTCGAGCGCTGTTTGTTTTTTCATGTTTTATTTAACGCAGATTTAACGAGCAAGAGAAAATTATCCGTGTGGCGCTGGAAAATAAATTCATGCGGTGTTTCTAAAAATAACTAACCACTTTTCGATCGAGAATCAATTTAGGATACATTTGTTTGATTTGGAATTGTACCATCATTGTTATTTATAAATGAGCCGACGTACTTGAAACGACAAATGTGCGGTTGCAGTAAAGCCGAGCAGGAGAAGACGAATCCGGCGCAGACGTGCAGGATATGCCGAAAGTCCATCAAGCAGGACGACATTTTCAAGACGTGCCACGAGTGCCAAAAGAACGTTTGCGAGGACTGCGCCTCGTACTCGACCACCACCGACTCGGACGATCCTGTAAGTATACGTGCACATGGTATATATAACCCCACACCAAGCCCCGCGCCCCCGTAATTTTCACTATACCGCCATGGAATATAAAGTGGGTTCGTTACACGTTTGCTCTTTTACCTCTCCTCCCACGCTGAACCCCCGAGGAGAAAGTTTTTACGGTGAGGATTGGAAAATAGAGGGGAAAAAGTTATTATTTACGGAAGCTCCTTCAACATCCTTTCGCCGTTTCGAATTGCTTTCGAAACGAAGGACAAAAGTTTAGAGTTTCCCGGGGAGAGCGAAATTTAAATGGAGCGCCTTTCGTGGGCTTTCGGAGCTCTTGGGGTCCACACAGCGACAATTTGTTTTCGTCCTTCGTGCGTTTGCTCTGCGTTTTTTTAGTCAGAAACAGTTACTCGCTCTTCCGCAGAGTACTTCTTTTCCCGCTTATTAAAATCACTTTGGCCGCGTCTTACGAATGAAACCATTGACGCGAAGGCAAACTAGGGCCGCGTTCGCGTGAATTTTGGTATTTTTTATTAAAAACGATTTTTCATTGTTTCGTATGAGCCCCTCAAATTGAAATTCCAAACGGAGGAAAGTTCCAAAGTGATACCCATTTAATAACCGTGCCTTTCAATATTCATACTTCCCAAAAAATTATCCCAAAACTGCGAGTGCAAACAAGCTTCCAGGAAAGAAACAAAAAAAAAAAAAATAAAAATAAAATTAACAACGTTTTCCTACAAACACAAAAAGTTAATTTCAACCGTGCACCCTCTCAAAAACTCCCCTCTATTAGACCGAGCGTGCCATACACCCACAACACACAGACTCGTGAAGGAAAGGAGAGGCGAGTGCGCGCAGGCCAATGCAAATACAACGGTAATAACGATGGGTGGGCAGGGCCGAGTTGGGAGCAAACAAATTCCAAGCGCACACTGCCGAGCCCTTTTTTCTTCTCCGCGCCAAACGTTTTTTTTATCCTCGCCATTAGCTTCGTTTACGCCTGCACTGGAGGAGAAAACAAAAGCAAGGGAACAAGTTGTCGCGCGCGTTTTTTTTTTCCCCTCCCAAATGGAGCGTTAAATCGGAAGGAGAGAGAGCGCGTCGATGGATTTTTCCAATCGATGGCCGTTCCACGATCGACAAAAGTGCTGACTCGGTCAACGCGTCGGGGTTATTTTTACATCCCCCCCCCCCCAGTGCATCCCCTATAATCTTGTATCCCTTTGCACGCGCATCGCCTATCTGCAGAGCCTCGATTTGACTGTTTCATTCGGTCACAGGCAAGAGGCGCGCGAAAGGGTGTATTTTTCAGCCGATATCTCATTGTACCCGTCAATCAAAGTCCCCCTTCCGCGCGATCACCAGATCCAAAGATGTTTTATGCATACACCCCCGCTGCTCCAACTTCTTTTCGTCGCACTTCAAGTAGCTCGAGGTGCATTTTCATGAATCATCGTGGTATGGTATGCATTTGGGATTCCGTGGAGTACTTACGGCGAAAGAAGTTTTCAGCGCTTGGCAAACGAAGGAGACAAAGTCGCGAAAGGGGGAGGAAAAAGTTGGGTACGTCACGGCGCGCAAATGAAGAGGCACACTTGCCAGCTTTGTGACAACAGGGGATGCCGATCCTATGAGCTCGAGTCCTTCGAGGGTTACTTTAATTTTATGTCGATCGTCTGTGGGTCGAGGATTTGGTGGTATTTTTCGATCGACCCGAGTGTTTGCAGATAAACCGAGCGGATTCTCGAGCTCTCGAGGCTGCCACGTGCTATTAGTAATTTGACGCTTCGCCGATCAAACTAATTTTTCAACGGTCTTAATCAACACTGCATGCAAGAGCTTATAAAGCGCCGCCAAGCGTCATTAAATTCCAAACGCGTTGAGGTCGTCACGCGCTGTCAAGCGTATCGAAATATTTAAACGTCGGGTTAGCTAACGGTGAAACTTCAATGTCTATATTATATCCTCGTTACCACACATCGAAATCTCCGTGTGATCTGTTCAGTTTTTGTTTTGTTGGAAAAAGGCGGGCATCGAAGACTTTTCTAATAAATTGAAGCCTAGTAACCTCAGCCTCAGTAACAAAATCACTGGTTATTGTAAAATAATTGTCCTTGGATGAAATCGTAGGTGTTAAAAATCATTTGTAACGCACCAGTTGAGTTAACCCTTTTGCGTCTGACTAAATACTTACTTATACTACTGATTCAACGATAACTAACTTAGCGAGCCTAAATGTTGATACATTCCAGCAAAAGTGGTGCTGCAGCGTGTGTCGGCGCAAACTGGCGCAAAAGGAGACGCAAGCGATGGAGGGCTCGCTCGAGGTGCCGATGCCCGAGGGCCTCGTGAGGCGGCACAGCGACGCGCGCCTCGGCTCCCAAGTGGTCAGTCAAATAGGCACCCTCGGCTCGGGTCTCATGCCACCGCGCAGTCCGGATCTCGGCAGGAGGCACTCGGACGTCTCGCCCGCGAGTCTCAAGGATCTCGAGAAGGTACGCTCGATCGGACCATTGTTTATACATCCCTGCAATGTGTTCGAAATCTTTGCTTTCCCATACTGCACCTGTACATACTGTATATAATCAATATACACATATATATATAATATACCAACCTATAACTATGTATACTTATCACGAGAACAGGGAATGGAACATTCATCGATTGTCAGAGTCTAATTCACATAGGTACATGTGCATGTCAGGGAGTGACTGCAGTAATTGAATTGATTTTGGGATATCGATGCCGCTTATCATTTTTGCTTGGATAATTATTGTGCGTGTCACTCAAACCGAAAATGTACCTCTTTTTCAGGTAGTTAAATTCGTACCATAACTGAAATAAATATCGATCGCTCGTTTTTCAGCTTAAAATACACAGGCTTATATTACGACTGACTGAGCGATAAGTCAAAATCTCCAATGAACGCAAAATGCTTGACATTATATCAAGTCAAAAAAAAAAGAAAAAAAGAAAAAATAAATTGCTTTTTTTTCTCTCTCGCTCTCCTCCTTTTGTTTAACTCTCAAAACGAAATACGCAAAGGAGAATTCCTGCAACAACAAAACGAGCAAGAAATCATAAGAAAGCACGCTGTCGTTAAATTATTGTACGCACACGGCGTAAACTGCCAGACTATCTTTCCTCGTTATATTATAAATATATATACATACGTGCACATACAAATGAGCAAACGTTTTCCACTGCTTTGCTTCCCTCCTCATCGGTAGATGTGCGCGTGTAGATGAATATGCGTTTGTACGGATACCCACAGTGCACTATTGCGCGCTCCGACATCGCAGTTATTCACAAAGGTGGGTAGACTGTATCGCTTCGTTTTCATTATTACTCTAAAGCTAAGGGGCACAGGATGGGGAGAGACAAATGTACGTCGAGCGAGTACGTTCTGACGAGAACAGGGGGATTGTTTGCGGGTGCCGGTGCCGCCGAGAGGCGAGAACAATTTGCCAAGATGCTCGTTTTATTTTTCTCCCTCGCTTTGTCGGCACTCTGTTCGGGTTGGGTGACTTTGACAAAGTCCAACTATTGAGGGGAGACATTTTTTGCAACAACCCAACGATAAACGTCCTGTACAAGAAGGTATTTTTTCGTCATTAAAATAAAATAAGACCATTATAAGCGTGCGGTGTTCATCTTCATGAGCTGTAAATAGTTATACCTGGGACTATTTCGCTACATTGTTGCAGAAGTTTTTTTTTAAATCAAGCGTAACGCTTTGCATTTGAACAGGATCACTTGTACATTTTTTTTTTTTTTTTTTTTTTTTTTTTTTTTTTTTTTTTTTACTTATACTTACCTTGCAACGATGACTACTCTAATTCCACACGAATGAATTTGGATTTTGCGAAAGGACACGTCCACGGCTCGGAGTAACAGCTGCTGTCTGGATCCTCTCGTGGATTTTATACCGAATAACCCNCACGGCTTATGGAGGGTCGTAGCTGACATTCGTATTATTAGAAAACGATCCCACCTTTTTTTTCTTTTTTCTTTTTTTTTTTTTTTTTTTTTTTTCAAAAGTTTTACGAATCGCTTTTGTCAAAATTCGATAAACAATCAATGCGTCAACAAATTTGTATACTCCGTAATTATTTATTTTCTTGTTTTACCAAAGTAAATTTTTACCAGAGTACTTGCTGACTGTAACAATCGTAAACACAATTTGGACACTTTTGGTTCACAGATGGAATAAAATTCTTCATTCTCACGTGACTTCTCAGAATCACTATTTTCATACTAAAGTCACGTAGTAAACTGTTGAAAAGTGAAAATAGTGTAATTAATAAAAAAAAAAAAAAAAAAAAAAGTCAGTAAACAAGCTTACCAATCACATGAACTAGCTTTGTTTTTTGTTTGTTTTTTTTTCACACTTCACACATGTTATTCGTTGATCCAGATAAAACCATCTTCCAACAGAGCATCCACGGGTCCCATATTTACAGATCGTGTCAACATTGGGAGTAAAGTCCACCGGGAGAAGCAATTGCAAGGGAGGCTGCAGTCAAAAAAGGAGACGTTCATTTTTAACGAGACCCCACGCTCGCGCGAATCGATTTTCCGTTTTGCATATGTATCAACAGTTGAGAGCGAGGGCTGCCCCTCAATAATGCACCCTCAAACGGGATTAAAATTGAAAAGGGCGTGCCTTCGTTTATTAACGGTAGTTACGGCTCCGAAAGTTTGTTGAAAACCCCTCTCTCTTCAAACTTTCACCTCACGCGTCAGTGAAAACGTAGCTTTTTGCGATGCAGTGGTAATTTTTTCATTATTAATTAGCCAGGGGGCGTGCCCACAAATTTCGAGGTCCGAGTGCAAAAGTGCACTCTGAATAATTTCGCACGACTTGCAGCTGGTGAAACAAGAAAAAAATAATGATAATAAAAAGAAAACCCACGCACGTGCTCTGAAATTACATCTCCTCGCGAAACAAATCACCGTAATCCCCTTTTCTCCCTTTCGGACCTTTCAATTTGCTTCCAGAAAATCCATTAGCGAAAAATCACATTGTCCATCCGGTTAATCCACCATTGTCCTGTTCGCACACATACAACAATCGGCACGCAATGTTACACTCGATGCGCAAAACAAACAAAAAATGACAGAGTCCTAGAAAATGGCAGTCGCACAACTAAGAATTTTTCCGCCCGAATGCGTCACAAAAGTCAGGTATTGCATCGGCTTCGCCTATCTCTTGTATTTTTTTTTTTTTTTTCAAAGCTCTATTTTTGTTTCCCTTGCTTGCAAATTCAAGCGCCACTCGGGAGGGCTATTTTTTTTCCTCCTCCATCTGTATATTTTTCGAAAATGGCCCAGTTTTGCGGAAAGAGAACTATTTACTCTGGCATTTGGATTTTTTTTTTTTTTGCGGTCACTGCAGTACACTGTTTAGGTGAAAACGATGCATGTGATTTTTGCTTTTGCTACGTTGATTGGAAGATTTGCATTTTATTGGATGTATGAACTGACTTTCGATCGAAATAACACGCCAACATTAGCTCACAAAATCAAACAAGATATTATATACCAGAGACCTTTTCATCTCACAATGTATATTAACGGACACGATGTCAGTTGTAACACAAAATTAGTCGACAAATCATTAGTTGAAATAAAAATACGCATCTGTAAATACCACGCACTCATTAGATGGTGATCAAAACAAGCACGAAAGTAAATGTATCCAAACTCGAGTTATCGCAGCGATCGCCTGTGTACATCACTTATAGATACATAAAGCGCATCGATAACGTTGAGCACGAATGAAACCTTGAAAACCGAAGCCTTTTGTAACTCGCAATGTTTCAAGGGGGTAAGAGAAGCTGCGGCTACATGGGCGGATTAATATTGACTCTTCAAGTTTATCGGTGATTGTAACTTTTGAAGGAAATGTAAAAGCCCCGTTGAAATTATTGTACCACGTCCAGTGCGTCATCTTACCGATGCAGCTCACCGATACCTCCTTGAATGCATTCGAGACAGCTTGTTGTACATAAATGTATATGTATATACGCGATAAGTCCATCCAAGGATACCCGACCGACAAAAACGTACTGCACTCGTTATTATCCGCCTACCCGCAACACGCATTGGCTGTGGTAGTCCATCATCCCTATATATAGCAGCAAGTGAATTATATTACCTGTGCGCAAGGCGACGCCCACCCATTCGTGTACAGTCCTCCGCACCACATCACCGTCCAGACAGTGTATTAATTATTTGTACATCAGCACATGCATCCACATAGGTGTACGAAAGATGAGAAAAATGGTTTCCCACACACGGAACACGCGCATACATATACATGACAATGTACAAAACAGAGAAAAAAAAAAAAGCAAAAGTCACTCGTTACAGCAACAACAACAACAACACGAGCTTTGTCCTGTGTGTGGAAGCCCTAATGCCCGTCTCTTTCGTAACGTTCGCAGTTTCGAAAGGTTGCAGGGGAGCGCAAGACCGAGGACTGGGAGTTGCGCAGCAAGTCGAGGAGCGGCTCGCCGGAGCGCCATCAGCAGGAGACCGGCAGGGACCGGCAGCGCAACGCCAGTCCGCAGCGCAAATCCGGGCACACAGGTGAGTTTTCGTATAAACGAGGAGGTTCAATTTTCACTGGTTGTATGAGAAAAAAAAAAAAAAATCACCACCCCCTCCCCCGAGTTTTGTGCGGGAGCCGTGTATCTACGACTGCTCGTAAAAAGGAGTTTCAGTATGGGCTTGGCCGCAGCGGTGCCCATATTTTATTGGGAAACAATATTCCCCGGAGTGGCTTGCCTTCTGAAAAATGGCCCCCGCTGCGTCGGGTATCACGTACCTACTTTTTTTCCCCGAGTCCCTATATTTTTCCGAGACTGAAATACTTTATCCTCGACTATATGGTCATGATTCACGAGCGGTCCTTTAATAAAAGTCTCATTGGTTGTTACGCGTGTTTGGAGACTCGTTGTAACATTACAATGGCGTCGTAATTGATTAAAAAAGGTCAAGTGTATTTACGGTAACGCCTATTTGAAAAAAAAAAAAAATTTCAATTACTTAGTAAACATGCAGATCCCGTTGATTACAATTCAATCTACTTTTCGTAATTTTGTTTACCATTAAATTCACACCCTTGAACATTGAAGCGAACGACCTTGTTTTTTTTATTACTTGGGAGCTCAATTTTCGTTCCTTTAACTTTTTACTGTAAATAAATTATACATTACTACATGGCCAAAATTATTCACATCAGCATCTGAAGTGGTGCTTGCAACTTTTTTTATTTCATTTTTTTTGATCTTTTGCACATGTACATAATAGATTATTAAACAAAAAACGAGATTTCTCTTGTATTGTTTGTTAGTTTGGCCAACTGTCCTTTTTTTTTACTAGAGGAACGATTCTATCGTGTATTTTTACAAATTTTACTCATGTAAGAAGGACGAATACGTGAAAATCAATTAATCGTGGAACGTACTTAAAAAACGCAACGAAAATGAATACTTGGTTACTACGTCCCAAAATAATTTCAATGACAAGAGAAAAATGTTTACATTAAAAGAAGAAGAAGAAAAAAAAAAAAAAAAAAAAAAGTTATCTCTCACGTTGTATTTGGAAATTGTAAGTCATGCATAATCCAATAAGCCTTATAGGTGACTGTGTATGAGTAAACGCGACCTTTTTAATTAAATCTTGATTGACGTACACGCGCCGATACGAGTGTCGTCAGGCTCCATCAATTATGCAATCCTCCCCCCTCCTTTTTTTAATGACCCACTGAACTTTCAATTAATCCCACGTGTACGATGAAAAAGAAAATCAATTACGCGGAACGTGTTGTATCATCGTACACGCGTTATTTATTTTTGTGAAAAAAATAAAAACGCAGCAACCAATGAAGAGCCAAGATAGACTAAGCCTAAACGAATTCATGTTTCGCCCCAACAGACCAGGAGAACGGCGGCAGCGAGCTCGAGCGGTCGCGTCAGCGGGGCGGTACCCAGCGGCGCAAGTCCCGCGTCTCGCGGCAGCACTCGTACGACGATGAAATCAAGAGCTCGGGAGGAGGAGGTGGCCATCCGGGTCCGGTCGACCCCGGCCTCGGTCTACCCGTCCAGCTGGCCAGGCGCGCCTCCACCTACGACGTGTACTCGTCGGGGGCTGGCCCGGGCCTCGCGGCCCTCGTTACGCCTCACCGCGCTTCCATATCGGCCCAAGGTGAGCTCTCCCACGACCATCGGATGCGCGAATGTACTTGGCTCAACTGTGACGCGAAATCGTGCACGCGCGAGCAAAGTTTGACGCTAACGGAGGCGATGGAGCCGCACATGCTATCTAATTATCCGCTTACCGCTACCCAACGGCTCTCCTCGCCCCTCTCTTAATCACTGACACGTAATTGAGTCGCTCGTTCGGGTTTCTCCCTCTTTGGAAGTGCCCCCCCTCTCGACTGGAGCACGAGCCTCGACGATAGTGCGGGGCGAGAGTTTCAATGCAAATGGATCGCTTCTGCGGTTACGTACTTCAAACTTTTGGCTCATCGGTTTTCTTTTTTTTTTTTATGCTCAAGTGTGCGCAAACTGGTGCTGATCTCGCGACTCGGTCAGCCAAAGTGTTTCAGTAGAAAAGACCATGTTTGGTCGGCCACGTGGAATTTCTTCAATTGGTTTTTTTTTTTTGTATTTTTGTACTGCTGAAAAGAAAGAAACAATTCGTAGCGTTAATTAAAATCAAAGTGATATACAGATCATCGGTCCGCGAAGTAGAAAAATCTGTGTTGGGTCAGACGTGGTACTCCAAGGGATTTTTCGGATTTCCAAGGACTTTGGAATGAATTAATCTTCTGATTTTTGTTTTTTAATTAAAAAAAAAAGTTGGTTTGAGAAAAAAAAAGAAAAGAAAAAAAAACTTGTGATTGCACTCCACAGGTAATCGCGAGCCGAGCGAGGCCGAGCGCCAGGCAGCCGCGGCCGCGCGTCGGCCGTCCTTCCGTGCCAACAAGCCACTGCTGCCGTACGACGTGGTCGTGCCAGTCGTCGACGACGACAAGATGATCACCCTCGACACCGCGCCCACGCCACCCGAGGTCGAGACCATCGGCGCCCCTGCCGAGGAGGTGCGCAAGATACGACGAGGCTCCATACTGTAAGCTTTTTCTTTTTTTTTTTTTTTTTTTCTAATAAGGGTCGAGTAGTGGGAAATGCGGAAATAAAAAATGCAAAACAAGACATAAATTGGCTCCCTTAAAGGCGAGCGCGGGAAATATAAGAAAATTATACGGACGGCGGGGAAAATCCAGGAAAAAGGACGGACAGGAAAGACGAAGCGCCTATCGATCCATGGCGGCTCGGTGTTTGACGTTGTACCTATACGTGGGTGTGTGTGCATGTAAAGAAGCGTATATGATCCGGAGGGACCCAATTATGAGCTTCCCTCTCGGAAAACGTCACGGCTTATGGAGGGTCGTAGCTGACATTCGTATTATTAGAAAACGATCCCACCTTTTTTTTCTTTTTTCTTTTTTTTTTTTTTTTCTTTCGAGCTCCGTTTCCACTTCCTCCTGCCGTGTATTTATGAAAAAAGTGTATTTTACACGATTCCACTTTTTCATGCATCTAGTGGAAGTAATCGATTCAAGAACCAAATTAACACCAACAAATCTATGCGTCAGCAGCTCGGCTTACAAAAAAAAGGTGTGAAGCTGAGTTAAAAAAAAAAGAAAGAAATCGCTTGGTTAAAAATACAAACTTGTCCCACGCGTTGGACTACAGCTGAATCGCACGTAGCAAATAATTAATACGCTAGCGGTTTCTTCTTCTCCGCTCGTGTATTCTTTTTGTACCACCACTTTTTCGTTTCTGCGTCAGCGTCAGCGCGTTTTTTCTTCAGCCCGAGGTAATTGAATGGAATTGTATTTGAGCTCGTTTATTTTATTATTCTTCGGCTAGAAAAACGGTTGCACAAAAAATTACCTTTCCATTTGTACCATTATTTTTGAGAAAACATTTTTTTTTTCTTCAGTAGTAAAGCTCAATATTGGGTCAGACACCATCCCAAATTTCATTTGGATTTTAATAATGAGATTTACCTTTTCTTTCGTGCTGTTATTTTCAAAATAAGATTTCTTCATTGGTATAACTCAATATCATACATAACTTTTTAACTGTAGTGTTGTACAGCTATAACTTTAATTTAATTCCTTTTCCCTTCCACCGGGATACATATTTTTTTTCTTTTAGAAAAATAATAACCATCTTTCAGTTAATAAACTTAACATCGTATAAATAAGCCACTTCTTGGATATCCTACACAATGAAATAAAAAATACAACGCGCCCAGATAGACCTCTCCTCGCCTCGAATTACGGCTACGGGGCTCATTCTCGGACGTCAACGACGACATCAAGCCCATTAGCAATGACTCTATTTACGGCTCGATGATCCGCGTCGACATTAATGAATATACATGTGCCCATTATTGATGATTCCCTCGAAACGGGCGTATTAAACGAACCGAAACGAGTGTCAAGCAATTAAAACAAAAATGCCGAAAAAAACATACGCCATGCACTCGTCAACGTTTACTTCCGTCCTCCGTTGATCCCGTCATGTTTTCGTTCATCACGCAAATTAAATTACCAAAGTGACGCGCGTTTTTATTGGCCGATTAACGGAAATTCGTGCACCCACGATCGATGTGCTTCTCCTCGCAACAGGTACGTCCATGCGCGTTTAAAATGGCACACGTACATATCCGATCCGATCGGGATAGGCTAATACACACACGCGGTCGTTCGTGCGTGACCCCGGGGATGGATGATTATAGGATGTACCCGAGGCTCCGTTCGAAGGGCCGCCTAGCTTTTTCTCTCTCTCTCCACCCCTCTGGCGTGGGTCAGCTGATTTCAAACTCGGTTACCCGGACTGAATGAAGGCGAATTAAAACTTGGCTCGGCTGTTCGTTTCCCCGCGTTTGTCAGAGATGAGGAGGGCTGGAGGGGGGAGAATGTTACCTTTTTTTTTTTTTGCTTCAATTACAAGCTCTGCGACGGGAATTATCATCGGTGTTGTTTTTTCCTCTCGTGTTTGGCTTTATTTTCGGGATGACGGGTACTTTGCTGCTAAATTTATCACGGCCGGCGAGTGCAGCAAAACGCGGAAATGGTAAACGGTAAATCCCGTAGGTTGAATTTCCATCTCGAAAGGGATGAAGGGATACGATTAATTAAGAACGAGTTGTAAGCACGATTCGATAAACCGGTGCATGTTAATTGTTTATCGTGGAGTACGGATTCGAGTTTTAAATCCACCGGTGTTTTTTTAGTGAAAGAGGAGGGGGAAAAAAAAATATACATATATTTTTCTCATCTCATATGGATCAGTGGTTTTACGAGCGCGCGTGTGTGTGCTATTGAAAGGGAGGATGGATAACATCGAGCGCATTTTTCCCGATATCCCGTCTCTTGTTGGGAGGAAATCGAACGTCATGGTCAGGATTTTCCAAGATTTTTTTTCCCCCTTTTTCTTTCCACCTCCCTATCTGTGGCCAATATTTGCTCTTGTATACAGAAATTTCATTTACATTTTACGGGTCATTACCGTGCCTCCCACGAAATCCCTAGTATTTTCGGAACGATGAATATTGTTCTTACCCATACAATCATTGCAAGCCAAAAGAATGTCACTCGCTTGAGATGAAAGGCTTTGAAATTTCAATGGTCCAATGTACAAAAGAGAGAGAGAGACACCCTTCGTCATGTAAATGGCCAAGATGTATTCATCAGAGTCGAGTGGGTAAAAAAATGTTTCCCTCCGAAAAAAAAGGGAGGAAGAAAAAGCCAACAAACGAGTACAGCGAGAAAGAGAGAGTTACGTAAATAGCGAAATATAGGTACGAGCCATTACACGAAATCGCACTCCAATTAGAGCGCTCGAGCACATCAAACGCTCCGCTTATTGTCAGCCAGCCCGGGCTTTTTTTGCTCCCCCTGTGCAATGTGCTTGCTTGTCCTTCTCCCACCCCCAACAACCCCCACTACCTTTCGTTCCACCACCCACGACCATTCGGAACGACAAGGACGGAGTTTTTTTCCTCTTTCTCGCTGTACGCGTGTTCTTTTTTTTTTTCCAGATTGTTAGCGTACGTAAGAGCGCAACTGCCCATATCTTGTATTTTTCTCTTTTTTTTTTTTTTTTCTCTGTCCTCGGGCTGGATACGATCTATTGCTCCACGGTTTCGTCCGATTGCGCGATTAGACACATCGCGATGTTCACCTGGACTTGTGAAAAAAAGTATACTTTTTGGTCGTATAAAAAGGCAACCCAAAAATCGTGAAATTCCGAGAGTGGGATTGGAAAAATCGCGGCAGCTCATCGTGTTTAAAAGCTGACCTGGAAAATTCGGGTGCAGCCGAGCGGGCACGAATTCGAGCTCTGGCCGTGCTCCAAGAAAGCACGCAGCTACGATGAATTCGCTATTGGTAAGGAAAATCTGGAAAACTACTCCAACGTGCCATTTTTTTGGACTTGAATAATACCAGAGATGATGTACCTACTGTTGGCGATCGAACCAGAATTTTGTTAGTTACTGGTAAATTATAACGAATGTTTTTGCATTCAACTGATCGGTTGTAACGGTATATGTATGCAGCAGACTTGAAAATTTACACGTAAAAAAAATTAGTTTACTCGCGCAGGCGAGTTTGAGCATCGCAAGTTTCCCCTGATTCACTCGTTTGGAACAAATACGGCGCGGTTTCTTTGAAGCCCTGGGTACACGGGACAAAGTTACGGCGACTCTCGACTTCTCCTTGCCGAGTAGAAACAAACTCTTGTTCGCTAGACCAAATACCCTCACTCGCGATGGCTCGAACCTCATGTACAGGCAACTATATTTTTATTTCTTTTTTAACCCCCAGAACTCCTTTCGTATACCAAAGCGCAATACTTGTGTATCTGACTGCCAATGCCGATTTATACGTTTACAGGCCGAACGTTCCGATCGGGGTGGTGAGACCAGCTGCAGTGCCGGCTGTAGTGCCAAAGCAGATTGCCCGCGTGAACGTCGACGAGCGCGAGCTGGTCAGGCAGGGCAGTTTGGCCGACGGCGAGGCCATTAAAATCGTCATCCACGACGTCGACTGCGACATGCGTAAGTATCATATATACGTGTACACCCTGTGTCTATACTGTTTACCGAATACTTTGTTCTTCGGGAATATTTTCCCGGGGGGTTGAAAAATGTAATCGCCAATAAATGGTAACGCTACCTGCTACGATACGGGCGTCGATTTTTTTCTCTCTCCTTTTCCGTGCAGTTGCTCACGTGTACGTGGTTCGTTCGCAGGGACAGAGGTAGTAGTGGTTGCTTGAGTTGCTTAATGAAAAATAAAGCTACGGGCCAATGATTGTATGTCAACAGTGGCGCAAACTGAAGTGGCAGAAACGGTATAATGTAAGCCTCGGTTGTCCTTCCTGTACGCCACTTTTTTTTTTTTTTTTTTCTTTTCAGTGAATTCGAGTCCCCGATGATTGATCGCGTGATTGTATTTTTCTTTGGCCATACAATCAAATAGAGTAGAAATCAATGGAAAGTGGTTCTGGTACCTGTACTTCTTTGAGTGTTTCAATATTTTTCACGATAAAACATTTCCAGGTCGAGTAATCGATGGACCAACTTATATATTTACCAAAAATACCATGGCATGAATCCCAATGCGACCAGACTTTAAATTGTATTATCATGTTAGACGTGTAAAAAATGTTGAATGCAATAAGTTGGATGAAAAAAGAAAAAAAAAAAAAAAAAAAAAAAACTTGTGTTTCAGTGCCGAGAGCAAACGCCAAGAGAAAAGTCACCCTCCGGAAGGACGTGGTCGTGGAGAAGGGACACAGAAGTGAGTAAAACTCGCAGCTTGTTTTATCCAACTGTCCTTTCCACTTGTACTTCTTGGAGTTGAAAATGAAAAAAAAAAGATTTAAAAAAAATCCTCTGACTTTGTTGCGTACACGGTAAAATTAAGTCGAGCTGAATTTGCATCCAAAGACCCGAGAGCAACTTTCCGCTAATTGCGCGCGTCCGAGAACTAAAACTGTGGATGATGGCGACGAACAAACACGAGCCAACGCGGTGTTTCGGGTCTTTGGGGTATATCAAGCAATCCCGCGCTAACTTTCTCTCCGCCCGAAAGAATGAAATTTCCCTCGACGCTGTTTCTCCCCGCTGAAAATTTCACGAGCAAAGAGAAAAATGGCTCCGAAAAAACGGCCAGGAGGTTGGGGGGTGGAAATTAGTCAGAGCAGAAATGAAAAAAGCGGCCGAAGAAAGTTTACGCGTGAGAGAGGAAGAAGCGAGCAACGAGTGTTCGTGGACTCCGTGTGGTGTGGTTGACGAACGGCCGGGATCTCGACCCGTTAAACGTAAGGAGGAAAAAAAAAGGAAACCCCTAGACGCACTAGTGCTTCCTTTCTCTCTCTCTGTCGCGTGGAGGTGTAAACTTTTATTCGCCAGTTTTCCACGCCTCTCCTCCTCCCACTTTTTTCTCCGTTTACTTGCCGCGTTGTGAAATACGAGGAAGGAAACAATCTCCCGGTGAAATTAATCCCCGGGACCGAGGAATCGCAGTTGCGTTTTTTATACGAGGACAGGCAACTTTGGAACAAAATTCGTGCGATAGCATGTGATGGACGAGTAAATTTGGAAGAAAAAAAAAAAAACCAGGAAGGAAACAGAGCGAGGACAGGTCGCAAGCGCTGCGAGAAGATGTAATCAAGCAAACGTTTGATGTAGGATGAAGGTATCTCGTTCCAGCCACCGTCGGGGGGAAGCCAACGTGGATGGATTCGGCCATTTATCACAATACAACGTCACGTGTTGTTTTCTCCCTTCATCCCGTACGCGCTCCTGAAAAATGATCTCGTTTCGCGCGAAGGGAAAAAGGGAGCAGCCAAAGTAGGGGAGGGCAAGTTTTACCGACGAGGTGTATCCAATTGGGAAATAATTACCCGGTAGTTACAGCCCACACCCAATGAGAGTGAGATTAATTATTATTAAAAAAAAAAAAAAAAGATGTGTTGCTTGGTACTGACCTATGTGTATCCCGTTATCAGTGGTGGGCAACGCGCGTGTAACGAGCTTGATACCAGGGGGCCCTTTAATTAACTACTCGATGGTCTAAAACTCGGCAGAGCGATAAGCGCGCACAAGTGATTAAATTGGCACACGATGCGAATGATGTAAACTGGCCATAAGCCCCAGATGGACAGGCCTGATTTGGCGGATCCATTACGTGATGTTGGCTTGGTAACGTTGCATGGATTTTGCAGCCACGATCGGCGTTCGTTGCCCAAGCGAGGTAGAGTTATTTCAATAAACTCGTTTAGTTTGACGCTCGATGGCGCTACAAGGCCACCATCCCCAACTACAAGCTCATTATGCCCCCCTCTGGGGATTAAATCACGATTAAGTTTTATATAATAGTCGCGCGATTATCAGGTTTGTCGAGGAGAGCACGGGTAATCGATCAACCGAGTTGAGCTTTTTTTTTTTTTTGTTTTTCAACTGTTTACAGCGGAACTAACGAGGATTATAGAGTTTTCCCTTGTCTGGCCTGGGTAGAACGCCAACCGAGCGATTATATGAAAGTAAGTTCGTCACGGGTAATCCGGCTCGTAAATTCGCTTCGAGTGTCGATGGTAATGATAATAACATATCCCTGGGTACAAGTTAAGTTTTGCAACCAAGTGGTAGTTTTGTTCTGAGGAGGAAAACATTTGAAGGACCCTCCGAATTTTTTTTTTCCTCACACCTAACGTGTGTGTTTATGCACAGATCACGTACACGGTTTCACTTTTCGTTATTTTATTTCCACCCCCCCCCCCCAGGAAACATGTGTTCGGCCAACACACGCTCGTCCGGTATTTTTTTTCCCCTCCGTCACGTAAAAATACTTACGAACGCACGATTCGATTTTCACGCCTTCTCCGAAGGATCTTTTTCCCCATCCACGGCACGTTCTCCTCTCGCTCATCTTTTTTTCTTCTTCCGCATTCTTCACGCCACGTACAATCTGCTGTTCTACCGGTGTCCACCTTTTTTTCGTACTTCCCGCTTGTTTCGTTACTCCACAGATTTTTTTGCACGAAAATTTGGAGCATTAACCATATCACAGATACTTTTTTTCGTTTAGCTGTCATTCCCGGGAATACCCGATGTATCATCGAGACAAAGTTTGCCCGCATACAGCAGCCGTTAGGCCCGAGGCGTCATTCAATTCTAATTAACAGCCCAAGCGTGGGGTGGTGCAGGGCCCTCGAGGTAATGTTTGCCTGTGCACACGTGTAATGTGCAAAGCCGACCTTCTCGGGGTTAGATTAGATGAGCCACCGGTCCGTAGCTGCAGGCCCGATCGATACACTATCCACACACGGTTACATATGCGCCAACTCCACGGCTGACAGTCACAACCAGATGGGGAAAATAATATAACACCTTTCTCCTACTCCCCTTTTTTCATGTACTATATGAGATACGACGACTAAATGCAAAACGTCTACCTCGCGTTTGCGCAACTTTAGCCTCGATATATAATAATAATAAGGAAGCACGCGCGCAAGGGCTCGGCGTAACGTTGTTTGAAGTTCGAGCGATCCCTTTACGGGGGGTATGGCTTCAATTTGACTTTGCCGAGTTGTTGTTATTTGCCACAGCGAGCAAACGGAAGGTCGCAGTAGCGTGGACGGGGTGTATACCCATCCACGTGAATTTACCTGATGAATCAATTTCGTTGAAATTGGGGGGGAGGAGTTGGAAGGTATACCTTCGTGTCTCGGGTACATCCACTTTATAATTTCGTGGGTGTAAAAACGAGTGGCTAATCGTTCGGGGGATCAACCAGCTCAAGCGTATGAATACTTGATGCTTCGACACGCGGGGCTGAAAGTACAATTAATCGGACACACCACCCCAATTTCATCGTGATACCTACAAATGTGGGGTGTGTCTGTGTTAGTTGGTAATGATTAAACTCGGATGATCCAATTGTATACACTTGTACCCACCCATAGCGCGCTCGCGACTTTTCCACCCATTTCGTAATTTGTGTGTACTTGTACGTGACGCGCGAACGCACCGACCGAAAATAGCTTTTGGCCCGAAAAAGCTCCTCGAGTGCAAAAGAGGAGTACAGGAGAACTGTGCAACAGCAACCAGGGAAGAGAGAGGGTGGGGCTGGCTCCTCCGTTAGAAGATGCAGACAATGAAGAAAGTCTTGCTCGGCTGCTAATTAACACCGAGTCGTTCCACCTCTTGTGTGCTCGAAGGAGAGGGGGTGGGGGGGGCATCGGTTGCTCAGATACACACACGCGTCTGCACGAGCCAGCCAAGCGTGTAAAGTCAAGCATCTCCGTTTGTACGCCTCAAAGCTCTCGTCTATCTTGCTCTCTCGGGCAGCCGATGCTAGTTTCGAGGAAACGGAGGGTGGCGCTTTGCCTGCAGATTGTTTTCCTCGAAGCGGAACGCTCCCCCCACCCCCTCCTCATGCTCTCGATTAATCTGGCGAAGCTTTTCTTTTCCATTTTGTCGAGAGCCTCCTTTCTGGGTGGGGGAGGGTTTTTTTTTTTTTTTTTCCTTGACTCTTTGGATTTGCAGGGTGAGCGAGCGTGGAATTTATCACGCGATTAGGAAAGTGCTCTTGCATATTTCAGGCATGACACTTGGGCTCGGGAGAAGCTTTGTTGTTCGGCCCTTTTTTTTCCTCTTTTTACATCCATTTTTCCAGGTGTTTTAACCTAACGATTCACTCTTTTTTTCCCCAACTGCCTCAACTTGGGTGCATTTTTCATTACAAAAATTAGGTCGTAAGTAAATCCGATGTAAGATGACTTCGGCCCGGAGATAGCAGCACGAATGTACTAGCGTCCGCATGAATTTGATTCTCCCCCAGAGTCCTGTTTTATCTCGTCTACGGCACGTCTGACCGCATCCCGACACTTACTACTTACAACCTCGGATCGGCCCGCACGAGATTGCCCCCGAGATTTATGACTTTTAATTAGCTCCAGGGCCGGATTGTTTACCCCACGAAGTCTGGCTACAGTAGTTTTTCTTTTTGTTTTTCAGTGTACTGTGCGGATTCACAATTATTACCTTTTTAGATCAAGAGACGCGAGAAAAAAAAAAACCCAAAAATTATAGGTATTATATTTTCATCATCAGAATAAAATATGCGGAGTTACAAGCATAGTTAGATTACACGTTACTTTTAGAATAAGTGATATATTTTCGCACCTCGCGCTTTTTGGAGGTACTAGATGCAAATTACACAATGGATTCCCGTCATTTTCACTAGCATCGCCGTAAAACCAGCAAAACTCATCGTGTAATTTTGACTGAATATTTAGATTAAAAGACCAGGTAAACGTATAAAAAGGCGCAAAGGGACGACAGTTGGGCGCGTAGGCGAATAATTAAACGTCACTCGCACTGAGCCGGCGCGTCCGCTCCGCTTGTTTATCGGGTTATTTATTCGCTGAAGGGCCGCCGAGAGGCAGAGGCGGAAATTTCCCGGGTCCAACGGGCGCGCGATCGATCGATACGCGTATACCGATCCGCGGTGCATTTGCCGATGAATCCGAGCGGGCCATCTTCATTTGCAGCACCGCATAACCGAGGCTACCCCCTCTTCCCTCCACAATTCCCTGGACCGAGTGGTCTCGAAATTTCAAAGTTTCAGCCAGCAGAGATACACATATATGTATAAACTTCCATTCGTTTTCCTTTTCCCTCGTGGGAATCGCGTTAGCGATGGATTACGTGACCGAATTCCCTTTGGATCCGGAGATCTCGTGGACTGGGTTGTTTATGTAAGGGCCGAACTGTGTTTATTGTTTTCACGACCGAGGCGAGCTTGAGAGGGACTTTTTTTGTTTTCAAATAAAACTGCAATGGAAACAACGATCCGTCGATTTCTTGTGGTTTTATCCATCGGCACCGATACACGTGCCTCTCGCTTGGGATTCGAGCGTGTCGGACGTCGAACTCGGCATCCAATGATAGTCGATGAAAAATGATGCGGAGACGAAAGGTGCCGACTCACTTCTGGTATCAAAGTTTTATTCAGCCGAGGATTTTCGCTCAGAGCGCGTGGACTTTTCAAGTACACTTTTTCCATTTGCTAAGTAGTGGTCAGACAAAAATTAATATCGGGAGCGTTTTATTCGTAATATGGTGAAGGAACATCTTATCTTTTCACCTGAAAATTCGTAGTTTTATCGGTAAAAAATTGGTAGAGAGTTATTTAGTTCCTTCATAAATCACCCTCGAATAAATAAGCTCCAATTTGGTTGAGCGAATTTTTACTAAAGGATACGAGTGAGAATCTCCTTTTCTCAACGAAATAGAGCCAAAAGAGTATATACGACGGCGGAGCAGCGCCTCTCTCCTAAAATAGCTAAGTTAATCGAAACTTTAACGAAGTACACTAATTAAGCTCGTGACTATTAACGAGACGGAGCACCTACCGTAGTGACGTCGTACAGCGCGTTTCTTCTCCCCCTCTAGCGCTAAAACTCATCATCATCTATAGCGCACCGGAATTCACATGCCCCGAAAGTTCCAGGACCGCCTCAATTTTACTTGTAAAATTTAACCACGAGTTATTTGGCCCATCAATTTATCGAGTTTGTTCTTCCTCGATTGATAACAGTCGGCCATTCGAGTAGGGAGAGAATCTGTAACGTTGCCTAAGTATACCCATCGAGAGAACTAGTGACAAAAGATGGACAACGAGCTGAGGGAAGAAAACGAGTTCTGGAAAAAAAAAAAAAAAAAAAAAAAAAACTTACCGCAGTTTGCGTGAAAATTAAATCGACTTGACGGGAGAAACTCTCCATTTTTTTTCCCCCATGGCGACCACGGCAGAAGCAGGAAGTGAGGGTGAGCGATGAAAATTCAAAAATTCATCGACACGAATTGTACTCTGCATGAAATATGGATGGAAACGGCATCCATCGATATACGCTCCCCGAGCAGCGTCGATCTCCTTCGGGAAAAAGGCTTTCAGCGGCACTGCCGATAATACACATCCTGGCCCGCGGGGGAGTCAACCCACCGACGTGCCGGGATTTTAAAATTCAGCAGCAGTGGCCTCGAACCGGGCATGTGGGGATCTTCTAAATTTGATGGTGATGCGCCATCCGGTTGTTCGATGTACCTGTGGCAGGAGCTTCTTTTTCCCTATACAACCCCATAAAGTACTTTATGCCGCGGAGCAGATAGTAAACGCGCCGTAAAAACCAAGCAAAGTCCATCGGGTGGAAGCAACTTTGAAGGATTTTACGAGCCGCGCTGCGCGTATGTTTCACCGCACCCCCTGCATACGAGCCTCCGGTTGCAACAACCGGGTTGAGGAAGCCTCGCCAGTCGATAGTTCGCGACACCAGTGTTTCGGGTACACAAACACGTAGCAAAAAGAAAAGAGCAGGAAACTTAGTTTTTGCTTCTCTTTTCACTCCCCTCCGCTTTCAAAGCTCGGTCTGACTGTACACTGGGCCTTACTACTTGTTGGCTTTCGAGAAAGAACTGCCCGAGTCCCGAGCGGGGCTCGCCGATGAAACGCCACACGTAATATCAGCGCAGCCTCGAGCAGATATAATAATAGAAAATGATCACGAACATCAACTGTACACCCAATTTCAACTATACGATTCGAGGCATAAAATATACACGAATCCAAACTCGGCGCACACCGCGAGAGCTAGTGGCGTTAAATCGAGAGCTTGCGCCCGTGCACCGTATATATGTATATATAAATATATATATGTAATTGCAATCGCGTGACGCAGACGGCAGGTACTCGACGAGCTGGTCCTCATTTCGCGTGAATTACGGAGCTCCCCCGCGGGGAAAGGCCGCCCTAATTGCGCGATAACGACGTGTAATCGGCATCTCTGTTCTGCTCTACCCCCCGCCGTGAATCACTCCAATGCGTCGAATATTGGGCCGTTCGAGTCCTGTTGAGAAGAAAAGAGAAACGGAATCAAGCACTACTGGTATTGTTTTATTCGCTTCGCAAAAAGAGTTTGATCCAATTGAACCATCGTCGTCTTCGTTTGCTCAGATAACTGGCTCGCATCATGTGTGTGTGTGTGTGCCACTGAATGCGCGCACCCGCCAAGCTTAAATCGATTTCGACGGTGGACTGGCCGTCTCCTCATTTAATTAACAAAAGAGCCACTATACCGCGAACAGAGCGAGCTTTTGGGTTCTTTGGGCGATGCGAAGGTCACCCTAATTTCGTTTGCCGATCGGGTGTTCTCTCCTACACCACTTCTCGAAGCTCTGCAGCTATTAATACCGGTACCTACCCTACTACCACTCTGTTATACTACCCTGGCGCGCGCGCGCGCGTGTGTGTGTGTGTTCATGGGGACAGCGTTAATTCAATGTGTATCGACCGATAGGTCAGCGCGCACCACTTCTCGAGCTGTGTGTGTATATATAATACGTGTAGAAGTAGGAGGGATCGCTTAGACTCACTTAGTTGGCGAGTGTGCGCGGGGGGGGAAAGACATTGGGGTCGCGATCCGAGCGAGTGAATGACCATTAAACGCTTCTGGGATGTGCGGTTATATCGAATAAAAAGTCACGTGCAATTCACACGTGGTTTTCAATACCACGCGCCTGTCAAAGCTATATTTGCAAGTTCATTGATATCTGCATATTTGGAAAAATTTGTTGCGTTTCAGTAGTACGATGCCCGTATGGTCAGCCAAAACCGTGATCATTAGCGGTCATTGGTAACAGTCCCGCCCATGGTGATCGGAGTGACTCGTGAACGCTGAATGAAAATCCTTGGCTGTGAATCTCGTTTAGCCTTCGCACGCGCGTTAGCATCCACGCCAAAGCATGCAAGCTGGTTTCGGGAACGATTTTTTTTTTTTTTTCATCGCCTGCTCGATCCCTTCTTCCCCGGAGCTTTCGATTTCATTGGATTTCCACCCCTTGGCGCGTGCAGCCTCGCTTATCGGTGGGACTTTTTTTTCGGTTATTCAAACACTGAAGCGCGATGCGATGGCCGAGCAATCAAAGTTCGTAATAGCATCGGGAGTGGCTGGACAAGGAGTCGTTTCGGCTTACTTTGGTATTAAACGGGAAAAAGAGCCGCGGCGATGACTCGTTACCCGGGATACTCCGGAGCCGTCCAGGGACGTGGAATAAGCCCCCCCCGGGCTCGGTGAAAGTTTTTACAGCGTCGTTAAAACGGACCGCCCCGTAATTTTGACTCCTCGTGTCCTCCCGAGCGAAACGAGATTATTCATCCCCGCGACCGAGTATTTCCGAGCCCCGCGACTTTATTTTCCTTTTTTTTTTCCCCCCTACTGCATATTCCATTTCGTCCCTATAGTCGTCCTTTTTGTGGGCCATCTTCCCTCGTTTGGCCACTTCTGGAAGAAAAATACCCAAAGTTTCCATCTTTGCTTCGGCAAAGAAAATTGATCCGAGTTAGCCGGGACGAAGAAGAAGAAGAAGAAGAAAAAAAAGAGATTACACGCTCCGCGGTAAGGAGAAAGCAAAGAGGACACGCCGAGGGCTAATTGAATGATCGACCCGTCCTTGGCTCGTGCTTGTTAATCCCTATAGGCTTTAAAATCTTAACTCGGTTCCCTCCTCTCTCTCTCTCTCTCTGTTTACAACACGCTTTGTCCTCCTCGTCGAGCTTTTCTTCCTCCCGTATCTTCGCAAATGGCTCGACCAATTAATCGCGTGGGGACGCGCTACACGAATAAGTGACTCGCGCGTCCTTCGACGTGTTCAGCGTACGTGTATATACATCCCGGACTTGGCCCAGCCGCTCGGGGATCGGATTCTTTCATCTACAGTCACACACGCATGAGCGCACCCGTTCAGGAATTACCAGCGCGCCGGGCGGGTGGGACGCGCCTGCGGTTAGCCTTAATAACAGGAGAGTGGGGGAGAGGAGGGAGGAAGAACCGAGGGATATCCGATCGGAGCGACCTTGGCTTCCTCCCCGTCGAGGTCGCGCCCAGATGTGTTTACACGCCGAGGCGTATGTACCTTGTACTCTCCTGGTTTTGCGGTGCTGGTGTGTCCTGGCCATGCTAGCTATTGTTACCATCATCCGTGTAAGCGGGAACGGTGCGGGGCACGTGTGGCGTAAGGTTGACCCGAGCCCGTGTCTTGGAGCGTGAAGGTGGAGATTCTCTCTTGTATTTTTTAGTAAAGAAAAAAGAAACTTGCATTGTTGAGAGGAAATAATACAACATCTTATTCGAGCTGTTGTTCGGTTTCACGCGCTGGAGTAACTATTTTTCACCTCCAAAAGGGAAGAAAAAAAAAAATGTATTTTAAGGACACTCGTGAGCTCCACCAGTGGAGGAACCTTGAGCATTTTTTTCGAAAAAATTCCGGAGAGCTCCGTCCCCGGCAATAGAAATAACAAGCAAAATGAAAAAGCTCTCGGGATGAGAAAGAAAGAAAGTTTGTGACACGCGTGTCGAGGCCCCCACACGATACGGGAGGAAGGGAAGTTCAGGGGCGCGCTGTTTCACGGCTCGTTCGTTTCCCGGGCGAAAAAAGTCGCGCGCGAGACGAAAATGGATTTTCTCTCGCTTTGGTCCTCGTGTAAGGTAAGTACAGTATTTTTTCCTTTCTTTGTTGCAGCGCGCAGTTTCGGCATGAGGGTGGTGGGCGGCAAGATCGCCGCCGACAAGCACCAGTACGCGTACATCGTGTGGACGGTGCCGGGAGGTCCGGCTGAAAATAGCGGCTTGCAGCAGGGCGATAAGGTAACGACGTGCGTTTGATGCACGTGCACGTGCTCCGTATACACTATTGATGGTTATTGGTGACAAGACCCGTCAACTATTTTTCCTTTGCGAAAGCAAGTATACCCACACACTCCTTTTGGCCCTTTACGACACGGTCATTACATTTTACGACTCAGTAACTTTTGGATAAAATAAAAAAAAGGATACATCCAAGGGAGTGCTCATTTTTTAAGAAATCATAGGCTTTGGATTTGAAGTACTCGAAGGGAACGGAAAGTTGAAACTGTCAAATGTCCGTAAACTCGCGTCGGCTACGTTACCTTAAACTTTTATTGTTCCCTTCACCGCCGTTGATAAATTACCTGCCATCCAAAACGCGTGACGTCAAAAGTCGAACGCTGCATAAAAATATTCTTGGAAACTAGTTATACGTATGGAGCAGTCAAGAAAAAAAAAAGCGCAAAAAAGAATTTTACGATTTGGGTAGAGTAGACGCTGTAACGGGAGAAAGGCGTGTGTCGGAGCTTCATTGGAATTAATTGCCAGAGCAAACGACCGCCCGGTGCTCTAGACTCCCTACGGCGGAGGTACGAATAAGACGCTCGGGTCGTACTGGACCTGGTTTCTGCACTAAAACACCGCCCGTTACCCATTCGCTCGTCGTTTATACGTGATGGGGGTTGTCATTTTTTTTTTTTTTTTTTTCTATTCGCATATTCTTCTCAAACGAAAGCTCGCATGTGAGTCGGGTTGAAAAACAATTATCGACTAGTTAAATTTTTTTAATTTCCCTTTCAATTTATAATTATTCTCTAAGCTATTTACAATTACGAGTACTAAAATAATGGTATCTTTTTATACATACACTGCCCTAATTACATACAGTGTAAAAGCGCGTTCCCCCAATACTCACCTTAAATCAAACGAGAGTCAAGCGAATATATCTACTCAATATCGCAGCAATTTAAGGACTCGTATACATTTGTCGCGTGCAACGTGAGTACTTCATCATTTCTCCCTTCTTTGCTCTCTGGTGTCTATTGGGGGAGAGAAAATCATTTATATAAATCTCGAGACAGTGGGGTAAGACATGTGGCAGTTGTACACGGCTGTGACTCTGTACATATGAATGAGGTTTCGTAGAATTTCTTTTTTGAAAATATCGTTCTAAAGGATACGAGATTTTTCGATTCCCTCAGATAAAACGATGGCCAGAAAGTTTGTTCACGAGCAATTACAACATTGACGAGAAAACCGAGCGCAAGTAGAATCATTCGAGTTTGGTCAGACGTCACCGAGAATCCTATATATAGTAGATACTCTTGTTACGCTACCGCAGCGTCAATTGAATACACCCGAGTACGAAATTAAAAATTGTTAATAGCGGGTGCATTTACGAGAGGGTGGTAGTATAGCGAAGCTGAATTTACAATTGAAATCCAGCTATGATATTCCAATACGCATTAATCGACAATACACGCGGTGGGGGGGAAAAAAAAAATAGATCCTATAACACATCCTCTTGACTGTTTTGCGTTAATCAGGTGCTGGAGTGGGGCGGCGTCCCGCTGGTAGACCGCAGTTTCGAGGAGGTGGCGCACATTATCGACCGGAGCGGCGATATCGTTGAGCTCATCGTCGAGCACACGTCAGACACGTAAGTTGGCTTATCGCACCACCGAATGATTTCACCATCCATACAAAACATTAATATTGTTTTCTTTTTACAAATCTCACTGTTATTATATATACTATGAAATTCTATGTTATATAACTGATATAATATAACGTACACAACCAAATTTTATACCGATAATCTATTATATACAAATATGAATAATCCTGTGTGGTTCGATTTTTGCCTGCACGAGTAGACAGACAAAAAAAAAATATCTTTCCCCGCGCGTGGTGTACATGCACAACAGACGCGATAAACAAGAGAGCGTGGCTCCCTCGAGCTTTTAATCCAAATTAACGAGCCCCGGGTAACACGAACTTTTCGGCCCGTAGGAGCGGGGACGCCCTCGACGAGCCGCCGGCAGCGCCGGAGAAGGCGCCCACCAGCCTCGGACTCGGCCAACTCGGTGAGTAAATTTGCATTGTCCGTGATTTTCGCGCGGGGGGGGGGGGCGGAAATTTAATTCCAACGCCACGGGGCATATAATTTTCCTAGCGCGTACGTGCATACACATATATATATATATATATATACACTCGCGAAACGCTAATTGCCCGCCGGCTGGGATTAGGGCTTTCGCCCGCGTTGTGCGTCCTACTCGTTAATGGGGTACCACTTTAAATAAAATAAAAAACTTTTTTTTTCCCTCGTTTCTTCTCGTTTGAATTGCGATGGCGTTGGTTTAAAGACGTCATTTTACGCGAACCTGTTTTAATTATAATCAAGTTTTTAAAATTGAAAATTACGAGTTTTTTCAAAGTTACTTTTCATTCGCGCGTAAATGTACACGTTATTATTAGCTCTAGAGCAAATTTACAATTTTAGTATGCATATATATATATGCATGACTCCACATACTCTAATGAATATGTATATACGCGACCTTCTCGTGTCGTCTAATTTGTTCAAACAGTGGTTAACTTGATGTACGGCAACAGCGCAGTTTATAATAATAATTTATGACTATAAACTCCAACACGTAAGTATACATACATGTACAAGTATATATGTAAATTTAACTTTTAATATAATTAACAGTTTTTGTCACGTAAGCTCCGTTGTATATTCAAAAGTGACTTTGTTGCTTCGGCATTTGCGTAAATTTTTAGCGTTTGATGACACGAATTTCTCGTACAATAGCCTATGCACAATGTGCGTGCGATGTCAGAGTGAGCGAGTGTCGTCTGATTTGTCGTTTCTGTCTTTGTGTTTTTGCAGAAACGGAATCAAGCAAAGCCCCATCGTAAGTTGTAACGTATCTTTGACCTTTTTTTTTTTTCATTCTAAATAGACATATCCCACTAGTCATTGTTAGTTCTATTAAAGACAAAAGTAAAAAAAGTGATACAAAGCTCCTGACTATGACTATCGAAGCGTGCGCGCTTAACTTTTTTTTTTTTTTTTTTTTTTTTTTTTTTTTTTTTTTTTTTCACCACCACCTCCCCTTTCCTAATCCTCGCCTTTTCCTATCCTCTAGTGTTTGAAATATTATCTACAGAAATATCGTCGTGTGTGTGTGTGTGTGTACACATTTGTTACAAAGACTCGATATACTTGCGAACAAAAATCTAATGTATAACGTATGCTGTTGATAATGAATATCTGTACTTTCGTAAAGAAATTTCCGAATTTATATTAGGAAAAAACAAACCAAGTGATACAAAGCTCCTGACTATGACTATCGAAGCGTGCGCGCTTAACTTTTTTTTTTTTTTTTTTCAATGCGCATTCTCTCGTACACTTGTTTTTATGCATGATTGTAAATGTGTAATTGTGTGTGTGTCGAACAATTGAAAGGAGAATCTGTTGGCTGTCGAGTTTTGGATGATTTTTGTGAGTCACTAAAAAATTGACGAAAAAAAAAAATTAATAAACGGCACAAATGAAACTATAAAATTTTGTAAAGATGCTTATTAAAAATTTTAAAAAATAGATAACACCAAAAATTCACGAGGTACTATTTTTTGTTAAAATTGTTGAATTTTCCAATAGACTCTTCTTTTCACTGGAAAATAATAATATTAATCAATAAAGCATCCTCGGCACTAAAATTGTTGCAACAAACGCCGATAAAAGAAAAAAAAGAAAAAAAAACGGTGTCCTTTCTCGCTCGAATATATAATAATCCCACAAGTACTACTGACAGGTGTATATACTCGAGTTTTTTCTATTACGATACGACAATCTATCGATCATCGCGTCGCGAAAACGCATCCACCGAGAGAAGCGCGTGCATGCATTTGAAGACTCCTTGGATATGATTATTTGAGGTTCTTCCAGCTATAAAATTAATAAAAAAAAAAAA